GTTACAGCTTTACCTAGACAGCACGGTTAGCTGCTGATGGCTAGGGGGGATATCTGGGACTCCCCAGACACCACCTCGCCCAAATTTGCTTTCCCATAATCAGTCTGGATGAGTCCATAGCTTCCATCTTTACATTTTCATGTCACTGCATTTAAACTCAGTCTCTGCTTTCATACTTATGACTGAGGCCACACATATGACTCTGGAAGTTTGTTCATCTTAGAACATATCTGATTCCTTCAAATGATCTGCAAACTACCCACCTCCCCAATCATCTGTTTCCCCATCCATCTCTGTAGCCTAAACTTATCCCAGGGGAAGGGTTCTGCCTCACTAGAGCAGTGCCAACCAATAATACCTGGGGGATGGTATTCATCCTGTTATATCTCTGGACCAGCTCATCCTTGGAGGGCATCCTGTGCTGTCCTTTTCCCATGCCTGTCACAGAACAACAAATCCAGTTCACTCACCCATTTCTCAAATATTTACTAAGGTGCATACTAAGTGCCAGGCACTGAGCTACACATGTAGTGAATAAAACAAACAAGGTATCTGCCCTGACACAATTTAGTCTGATGGAGACTAGAGCAAAGAACAAGTAATTACAACACAGTATGGTAAGAGGTGTAATGGGGAGAATCTAGAACAATGTGTGAGCTACAGGGGGGAACTAGCCTGCTCTAGGGGTTTGAAGAAGGCTTCCCAGTGATAGCTAAGAAGAACTAGTTAAATGAAGAGGAGGAAAGTGTTCTGGCAGAGGTAACAGGACATGGAAGAAAGCAATGTGCCTTAGTTTGTATGGAGCATAGTCAATGGAAGGGGAGTGACAACAGATGATGTGGAAGCTTTAAGCTAGGTCAGATCAGGCAGGCCTTACAGACCATGTTAAGGCAACTGGAGTTATCCTGAGAACATCAGAGAATTACTAAAAGGCTCTAAGACAGGGGAGGAACACATGAAATGAGCCAGGAATGAGGGGCCCAGGAAAGTGGTATCAACACCTTGGATCAATGCCAGGTTGAGCAAAATGAGTGAAGAGGAAGTGAAAGGAAGAGTGAAGACTCGCTTTGCGAGTCAGATCTGCTCTAGTCTCAAAGTTACATAGAAAACTATGACCAGAGTCACTTAAAAGAAAAGGCAGAAAGCACAGCAGGTAAGTGATGAATAATTTTCCACAAGTAACCACAATGGCAACAACCTTAAGAATCCTGCTTACTTCCTCAAGTCTTTGAAGAAGTGGTGCCAATTCCCTCGTTTCCCCCCTACCTAAATCCATAAATCCTCCACCATCCATATCTCCCAGTGAATAGCCCTATTTATAACATTTATAGACTCCTTCTAGATTTTTCTTATTTAGATACAAAACAGTGCTTGTGTGCCCCTACTCCCAACTGTTTTTGGCCTGTGACTAAGACTTCAGTCTTTGTACTAAGCTTTCTCACAGGCCCAGCCTTATCACAGTCGTGTGTGTGTATGTGTGTCCCTTTCTGTTAGAGGGGGAGATGGATGAAGATGGGAAATGATGCTATCACAACAGGCCATAAACCCGGCCTCACCACTCCATCCTGCAACTTTCTATTACTAATCCCACTCTGCTTCAATTCTTGGTTTTGTGCTAGCCATGGTGTAGGAGTGCGGATGACTGGACTGACATTCTTCACTGCTCAGGCTGTCAATTCATCAGGCACTTACACTAAAGTCCCATGACAGATTTATGGCCTGAACAAAACTCAGGGCAAGACTTAAATTAATTTCTTCCCCCTACAGAACACTTACCACCCCTCTATTTCCACTTTCTCCATTAGCCTTAACTAGGTTTAGCTCTGAATCCAAACATCATGACCTTCTCATCCTGGGTATTTCAGTGCAAGATTCTGAGTGAAATTCCCACTCAAGTTCTACCCCAGAGGATAAGAAAGAACAATCTGCTTTCTATGGCTGGTCTTTGAGATGGCCCTTATGATACAATCCAAATCCTGTCCCATCCCAATCCTGTTGTACACTGTCCTGTCCATATTGACCCAATGATCTTCTGTCAGTTTACCAAGACCAAAATCTGAGAACATGGTGGCTGGCATAATCCCTTAATGCTTTGTGTCCAGAGTACACACATATCAGAAGTCTCTAAACAGAACTAAACAAACAGATGATTACCATCTTCTTTCTCACTGGCCCTCATTATAACCTGCACACAATGGCCAAGTCACTGGAATAGAGGCTCCACGAGCCAAATGGATGCTCTCTATTTATACCGGCTCCCAGAGGGCACCGAATGCCACAAAACTAAGGATACCCTGAGGAAGAACAGAGAAAACCAGAGCTAAATAGGGTAAGATGGAAACTTATAAGAAGACAGAGTTGGCTAAATGCTAGAGTAACTACAATAAACTGGACATTTGTACACATCTCATATGATAGACCCTCACATATCTTTGGACCCTCAAAGACGCAGTCATTCAAGTAAAGCCTACCTGGTCAATCCAATAAAGTGATAAGAAAACTGGCCTAGAAGCTAGGAGGCCTAGACTCCAATCCTAGCTCTGCTACTTACAGTTGTGTGACCCCAAGAAAGTCCTTTAACTTCTCTGTATGAGCTTTCCTAACTGTAAAGTAATAAAGGACTGGATGTAACTCTAAGAGTAAAATCCTATGCCATTTTGTATCCATAATCAATGGACCTCTGCAAGAGGGAAAAGAATGGTGCCATATGATGTTTTTATATAATCAGGAAAGTAATGAAGAAAGATAAGGGGTCAACAGAGATTCCTGGCTCCATATGGCAACTAAAGGGATTCAGGCACTTAGTAGTAAACAGAAGCCAGTGAGAGAGGAAAGAGGGCAGGAACAGGGAGAGAACAGACAGGAAGCAAGAATTCTGTGGGCACCAAGAACCAGAAGAATCTAACTCAGAAAATAAGAGCTTAATGAGGGAAGCTCAGGCTTGGACAAAGATAAAAACTGAGAAACCTGGACAAAGAAGCCAAAAAGACTACCCCAACACAACCCCTACTTTGCACTGCAGGCACACAGAGTAAGATTCATTCACGCATTCAATCAGTATTTATAGGGCACTTACCCTGTGTGGATTCATCATCAGGTTTGGTTCATGACACACTATCATTAATTTATTTATTCATTATCTATTATACCTAAAGACCCAACCTATAAACTAAATCCAAGAACCAAAACATTACTAGTGACTTACACCTAACTATCTGCCTCTTCTTGGAGGTAACCACTATCCTGAAATTTCTTTAGTTTTAGCATACACACATACACACATGCACCTAAATGTTTAATTTTGTTTGCTTTTAAACAATATAAAAAAGACATCATTCAGTAGTGTTCTGGGCTTGCTTTTTTTTTTTTAAGATTTTATTTATTTATTTGAGAGAGAGAGAAAACATGGAGGTGGGGGAAGGAGCAGAGGGAGAGGGACAAGCAGATTCCACGGTAAGTGCAGAGCCTGACATGGGGCTTGATCTCACAACTCTGAGATCATGACCTGAGCTGAAACCAAGAGTTGGACGCTTAACCGACTGAGCCACCCAGGTGCCCCTGGGCTTGCCTGTTTTAAAATCAACTAATTACTAAGATTTTTCCATATAGTTGAGAGCCACTGTTCATCCATTTTCATTGCTAAATAATAATCCACCCTGAGAATATACTAAAATGTATTTATCCATCCTCCTGATAATCTGATAATGAGCATTTGGGTTGTTTTCAAGATTTGCTATTGCAAATGGTATTGTTTTGAACATTCACGTACACCTTTGGGTGTATGTAGGCAGGAATGAAAATGCTGGGTGGCTGGGATAAAATTTTTCAGCTCTATGAAATTTAACACCAAATTATTTTCCAAAGTGGTTATACCAATTTATATCCCCATTAAAAATAAAAGAGATCCTGCTGATCTACAACTTCTAGAACCATTAGAGGTATTACCAGATTTCTTGATTTTTGCCAATCCACATAGGTGCTAAATAGTAAGTCTTTTTGGTCTTGATTTTATTTCCTTGATTAATAGCAGTTGAGCAGCTTTTCATATTTTTTGGTCATTTCTTCAGTGAAATGCCGGTTCATGTCATTTACCTATTTCCCTATCAGGTTGTCTTTTTCTTATTGATTTTTAATTATTTTATTTTTTAAAAAAATATTTTATTTATTTGAGAGAGAGAGAGAGCGCACAAGCAAGGGGAGAGGCAGAGAGAAAAGCAGACTCCACACTGAGCAGGGAGCCCAACATGGGGCTTGATCCCAGGACCCTGGGGTCATGATCTGACCTGAAGGCAGATGCTTAACTGACTGAGCCACCCAAGCGCTTTGATTTTTAAAATACATTTTTATTACTAATCTTTCGTAGTTAAATGTGTTGCTAAATGTCTTCTTGTTTGTAGCTTTTCACTTTCTTACAAAGTCTTCTGATGAACACAAGTTTTTAGTTTTAATAAAGTCAAATTTACTGATCTTTTATGATTTATAATTCTATTTCCATTCTCTGGGTAATTTTGTATAAGACTATAATAATTGGTTTGGTTTGGTGTAAGACTCACTTATAAAACTAGGGGCGCCTGGGTGGCTCAGTTGGTTAAGCGACTGCCTTCGGCTCAGGTCATGATCCTGGAGTCCCGGGATCGAGTCCCGCATCGGGCTCCCTGCTCGGCAGGGAGTCTGCTTCTCCCTCTGACCCTCTCCCCTCTCATGTGCTCTCTCTCTCTCACTCTCTCAAATAAATGAATAAATTTTAAAAAAAAATCTTAAAAAAAAAAAGACTCACTTATAAAACTATCTAGGCTCGGTGAGTTTTTTGGGTTTTTTCTGTTGTTACAGTAGTTTAAAATTTAGAGACTCTTCTAAGTTCTATGATTCTGGACCTAAGTTTTCCTATCTTTGTAACAGTTAAATTACTGGAGAATACTAAATAATAACCTATAAAGAATCTAATACTGTCCCTTTTATATGGCAGATGTATAAATATATGGTGGTTATCCTTTATACAGAGACTATACAGAACAAGAACAAAAGAAGAGTGAAAAGGAACTAAGACATGAACCTGGAACACTGAGAGAGCTTCAAGTCAGATTCGTTTTCTGAACAGAACAAAGCTGGACTTATCTCCTGACTAGAATATGGGCTTCATTCATGCCTTATCTTTGGAATACAAGGCCTTCTCTTCCATCCAATGTAACTATTATAATATTATGTAATTATAAACAGTTGAAATTTTAAAAGGTAGTTGTCAGGGAGAACAATGTCTCCAGACATGTAAGCCAATGGAAGTTACTCAAGCCTTCAAGTGTATTCATATATAAACTCACATGCACGTGGGCACATACACCATCCATAATAATGACAGGCTACCGCTAACACCAAAAATGTAGTCTACACAAAGCCTCATTTCAATCTCCCAGTTAATCCCTAACTTAATCTCAGAGTCAAGCCTCTACAATAAATAAAACTATCCCCATGGAGAAGAGGACTATCTAAGAGAAAGGGAGACAACTGGCCTCGCCTTGTAAAGAATCTAAATTTCTAATAAGAGGAGGCAGAGAGACAGACTATGTATCTATGACTGGGGAGAGAGCTGACAAAGACCAAGTATCCATGATGAACGAGGAGGAGACAGCATAGATTATGTATTTACAAAATGAATGCGACGTAAATACAGTCAAGGTGGCCAGAGAGTATTTCTTACCTGAGTATCCAAAGGAAATACTGGAGATGGGGCTCAGGTAGATGCCTTTGCCATAGGCTGCTCCATGCAGCTTGCAGGGAAACACCAGGATGAGCAATATGAGCCTGGGCCCTCCCATGGCTGTATATTAGGCAGCCACAAGGCTTATCCAGCCCTCTGTCCCTCCAATTACCTTCTCACTCATTCAGATAACACTAGGAACCTACTCTTGAAAAGCTGATTGGCTGAAAAGTGGCTGCAGATTAACCCCTTTGTCCTACTAGATATTGATGTCTTTGAAAGTGAGGAGTGGCAGCGCCACTGAGTCAGTCCCTCAGAATCCATACTCCTGTCCCCAGGCCTTGGCACATATGCAGATTCCAAAAAAGGAACTATAGAACAGGTAGCCAAGAGGAGGGACAATATGCATTCCTTGGAGGCTCACAGGCCAAAGAAACAAGTCTTTCATATCAATTCTCTGAATTGACTGAATGACAGTCACATAAATTAAAAAGCTTTGTCTAACAGGTTAATTCATCACAGTGGCTGCAGTTAGCAATTCATATTCCTGCCTATTACTACAATCCCGTTCCCGAAACCACCAAAAAATACAGCCTGGGGTCAATGATACAACAGCCACATTCATTCTATACAAACAATTTCAACCTCTTTCCTAGGGAAGCCCCACAACAGGCTAGATTTGAGGATGCTGAGGCAAAAACAGCTGAGTACTCTAGAGCAGCCTTCCCCAAAACTGAGTGGGGCAGGGAGGGGGTGTGGAGAGAAAGGGAAAGGGGCACAGCCTCACCTGCAGTTTGGTGTAGGATGCATTGACCAGCCCATTGCGCAGGATCGAATGCCAGTTCTCAATGTGGGACCCACTGTAAGGCAGGGTAGAAGACATGTGTCCTCACAGTATGAGGTTCCCAGAAGCACTTCTAAGACTGCCACTCCCACCCATCCTCACCCACACAGGACATGATGATAGACACAGATACACCTAGTGATGGACACGCACATGGATACAGTCACAGGCATGCAAGATATGTGTGTGTGGCTAACCCTCCATCTTAATTTCCAGTCCCATCCTTTTTTCTGTGCTTCAGGTAGTCCCATCCTAAATCCCCAAATGCTGGTTCAGCATTTTGTCTATTTTCCTGATATTTCAAAGTTAAGTAGATGCATCTCACACTCAACAAATTATCACTGATCCCAAATACGGCTGCCAGTCCTGATTTGACATCTATTTTAAGAAAAGGGCACCACTACGCCCTTCTTAATCTCTCTCTCACTTTCTCTCCCCTCCCACAATTCGGCATAAATCACTGATTTCCTTCCAAGTAGCTTTCAGATCTATCTCCTCTGATCTGTTCCTTCAACCACATCTTTTTATATGTAAATGTCATTTTTCTTCAACTATAACATAAGTAGCTTGAGAGTAAAGACCATATCATATGTATCTTTTTACCTTCTACAGCACCTACCATAATAATAATAAATATTTGACTGATCAGTTAGTGGACATAGGTAACACACACTCATATACCTCAAGTGAAGTTGCCCTCCCATCCCCCTGAATTATTTGTTGTCCTCCCCACCCCCACTCCCAGTCCCCACCCTCCTCACTGGAAGGCAAAGGTGCTGCCATAGAGCTTCTTGGCGGTCCGGAACCGAGCCTCCTTGGCAGGAGGGCTGCTCAGCAGGAGGAACTGGTGTGAGGTGTGCATGAACTTCAGCTGCTGCCCAGGGTGGGGGTCGGGTCAGGAAAACAGAGCAGAAATGGAGATCAGGGAGGGAAGGGTTGGGGCCAGGGAGCAAATCAGGCTTGCACTGACCCCAAATAAAGAGATTATGCTTAGGTCCAAAGACTACTGTTGATGGACAGAGCCAATGAAACAAGTCTAGGACCAATGTGGTTAGCTGGTTTGGGGCCCCTCCCTGCCCCTCACCAGAAATTTCAAGAGTTTAGAAGAATAGTCACTTACCCTGCTGAGAGGTAGTTTGACAATGTGTGACCTGTTGCTAGAGATGATCCTAGCATAAAACAGAAAAAAAAGGAATGGAAAGAATGAATGTTTGGCCAGACCATCCAGAACAAAGCAGCAGCCTTGCTGAACCCCTGGGAGAACAAGCAAGGATTCCAGGGCTGTCTGCCTTGTGTGAAATGTTCAGATCACTATCTGGGTACTCCTGGGGTGGTAATGCTCGTGTAGAAAAATGTAAAAGGGAAGCTACCGACCAGAGACCAGCTAGTTACTGGGTAAACGATGGACGAAAGACAGGGATGAAAGGGAGACTGCTACATCTAGGAAGAGAAAAAGATAATACAAAAGGAAGAGTACATAAGATCAGCTACAAAAAAAAAAAAAAAATCAGAAAGCAGGGATCTGTATTAGCAGGGTGACAACTTGTACTTGGGATTTAGAGACATACAACTGGGGCTCAAGAGCCATCCCATCTGAGCTCAGAGGAAGCCTTCAGGGCTCTTGAGGATGGGGAGGAATGGAAAGAAAGTTACTGTTTGGGCTGGAGAAAAAAACAGAAGAAACTACAACAATCTTCTGAGGATTCAAGGACAAATTGGGCTGTGTGTCGGCTGAACTCAGAGCACAGGAGAGAACAAAGGCATAAAACAGTGAGGGCTCAGCAAGGCAATGTTATCTCATGTAGCGGATACAGTTTGGTTCTTTGGGCTTCACCCATTTACTTGTGATGCCATCCTGGATAGTCTATGCCTGATCACTCCTCATGCTATGTGGGAGCATGCTGCATTGAGAAAGTACTGATGTCAAAAGCTGACGAGGAAAAGAGGGGAAAGCTATGTCAGGAAAACAACAGAAATCAAGATCAGGGAAGGAGGGCAGGAGGTGGAGGGCAGTAGAAATGTTCAGGATCTTTGTTAGAAAGGAATAATAATAGTGCCTCAAGGCTCTGGACAGTGTACAACAACAGGGAAGGCCTTGAGACGGGGAAAGGGAGTAGAAGAGGGAGACAGACTTCTCTGGATGCACAGAAAACTGAGCTTTAACAGTACTAATGCTTACATACAGAGGATACTTAAAAACCTACTGGGAAACAACACCTAAAGAGAACCCGAAACATGATGTCAGAATCTGTGAGTTCTTAGTAGGCTCTGAGTTCTTTTCAGGGCAGTATATCAATAAAACCCCAAGAAAAAGCAGCCAGAACATCTATAACCTCAGGGACGATGCTAAAACTGCCTCTAAAAGAAGGTGTAGGTTCCATGTCTAATATACACCCCCACACCTCCCTTCCAATCCCCGAAGGATGAACCATTCTATCCATACTACTTACCACTGCAAGAGAGGATGGGCCAAGGGATCCAGCTTGTCCATCTGCTTCTTGATTTCTAGATATGAGCCCTGTAAGACAGAGGCCATAAAGTTACCTCCCAGGAGAGGTGGGGCCCTCCCACTTACAACAGACTGACTATCAGGGCCCAGGGCAAGGTAGGCACCGTAGGCCACAGAGAGGCAAGCGGAGATGGGGTTCCCACCCTCAAGGAGCCCAGTCAGATTGAGAAGACTCATAAATAAATATGAAAATGACTGAAAATGCTTACAAAACAACATGCAGGTGGGTCTCCCTCATTTTATGCAATTCCTACAACCCTAAAAAGTTGACTTTAAATCAAAAATAAATAAAATCAATGTCCCAAAAAGATCAGGCTAAGGAATCCTGTGGTAAAACTTTACATAAAGCAGAGTCCTTCTGACAAATCATCCCTCCTAGGTATATCTTATGTGTTAATCTGAACTGTGATAATATAGGATTTGCTGAGAAGAGGCCCACCTGTAAATGTGAGTACAAATGAATGTCTATTCATGCAGAGATTGCAGACGAGGGGTGGGGAAGTCTGGTGAGGGGCAGCCTTGAGTCAAAGGATGGTCACTGCTCCATGTGGCTGCCCCACCCCTAGAAGGACAGAAGATGTAGGCCCCTGGGGCTAGTTCCTTACGTCCAAGCCCCCTCCTCACCCTCCCAACCCTGGGCAAAAGTCTTTCACTCACTTCTCTAATTCCCTAAGAATTATGGGGAAAACATTAAATATGAACAACTTGTGAAGGAATTGGCAGCAAAGGTAAAGGTTGAGAGAGACATCAGGAGTGAGAAAGAGGAATAACAGAGAACAAGGATTGGGAAGGCTGAAGAGGGAAGACTAAAGAAAATACAGTGAGGAATCTGAGTAGCATTTCTAAATCTTCACTCCATTCCCATGGATTCCAAGCACAACAGGGCACTTAAGCAGGACAGGCAGAGGGCAGAATACCTGGGTCATCTCCCGGATGGACATCACACTATCCAGAGCTTTCTGAAGTCGCTCATAATTCTTCTTCTGTGGGGAATCAATAGGAAGAGAAGACCCAGATGAAGAAAAGTAGAGGTGAGTAAGATGTAATGAAAAGGGAGGGCCAGATGTACAAAAGAAGTCTAGGCCCCAGGGAAATAGCATGTCATGGAAAGAACACAGATTGAATGTCAGACAGTTCTGGAATCACCTGCTAGTTCTCTTTTACCAGCTAGAAGTAATAGGGGAAGTTACTTAACCTCTTAGAACCTCGTATCCCTGTATGTTAATGAAGATAAAAATTCCCACTACACTCTCAGAGATGTTCTGAGGACTAAATAACATATGTAAAGAACCTATATAGTGCCTGATACATAGCAAGAAGGGTAATAGTGAGGCACTCTGCTGGGTACTTGTGATGGTTAATTTTTTTTTTTAAGATTTTATTTATTTGACAGAGAGGGAACACAAGCAGGGAGAGGGAGAAGCAGGCTTCCCGCTGAGCAGGGAGCCTAACTTGGGGCTCGATCCCAGGACCCTGGGATCATGACCTGAGCCAAAGGCAGACACTTAACGACTAAGCCACCCAGGCGCCCCTTGTGATGGTTAATTTTGTCAGTGGTTAATCAAGTTGATCTAACTGGGTCATGGAGTACCTGAACATTTTGTCATGCATTACTCTTGGTGTGTCTGTGAGGGTGTTTCTAGATGAGATTAACCTTGGAATCAGCAGACTAAGTAAAGCAGATTGCCTGCCCTCATTTGGATGGGCCTCACACAATCAGTTGAAGGTCTGAGGAGAACAAAAAGGCCAAGGAAGAGGGAACTCTCCCTGCCTGACTGCTGAAGCTAGGACACTCACTGGTCTTTTCCTACCTTTGGACTGGAATTGAAAAATCTGCTCTTTTTGGATCTCAAGACTGCCAGCTTTTGGATTGGAATTTACACCACTGGCTCTCCTGGGTCATCAGCTTGCCAACTGCAGATCCTGGGACTTCTCAGCCTTCATAACTACACGAGCCACTTCCTTCTAATAAATCTTTTTCTATATGTATCTCCTACTGGTTCTGTTTCTCTGGAGAACCCTAATACAGTACTTTACATATATTATCTCTCATTTTTATAACAACCTGCAAGATAGGTATTATCCCCTTTTTACAGATAAGGAAATCAAGGTTCAGAAAGGTTAAGCAACTTTTCTTACACCATTCAGCCATGGAAGAGTAGAACCAACCTCAAATGGAATCCAGGTCTGTCTGGTTCCAAAGTCGATATTCTTCACTAGTAAAACCCAATAATGTTAATTCTTCTCTCCTCCTTCTAACAAACTCAGTTAGTTAAAACAGCTAAAGCTTGGGGTTTAAGAGTTCCCAACAACCAAGTGTTCCATTCCTTCTGTCCCGCATTCCAAGCTATTATATACACTAGAACGACAGCCCACAGACTCCCACTATCTCTTATCATTTCTATTCCTTAGCCCTGACTTTCTTCCCAAGCAACGATACCTTGGGGTTAAAGGCCAGAGTCTTGGGATCAGTGGGGTCCACCACAGACGGATAAGGCTCAAAGATGATGCTCTTTCTAGGGGACTCCAAAGCTGCCCTACACATGGCCACCAACAGATCCACCACCTTAGGAGAAAAGAAAGAGGGCAGAAGCTAAAGGATCTCCCAGAGCTGGGAGTCACATAGTATCCAGCATAGGTCCACCTTTTGGAGGCTCTCAGCACTTCTCTCTGCTGTTCTTTTTAAAAAGCAAATATGCTTATGGTTTCATTAGAAAATACAGGCTGCTTATAAAAATTCAAGTAACATTGAATTAAAAAGTGACTAAAGAAAAGATAAAAATCATCCCCCACCCCCAAACAAATCTCACACATCACAGGTACTACTGTTAAGTCTGATGTCTATCCTTTCAGATTATTCTTCCTATGGAACTAGTTATTTTATTAAATAGGCAACTGAAAAAAAAACTACACTACACTTACTGTTGCATTATCTTTTTTATATATAATGTTCTACCCATAAGTAATAGCTGTATAGTATTCCCACTGTAAGGACATGCCATGGTATCTTTAACAGAACCCCAGAGATGGAATTGTATCCATGTTTTTTTTTTCACTATTACAAACAAGAGTATCTTGAACATTCTTACACATGTAAGCATTTCTGGAGGTTAAATTGCAAGGAGTGAAACTGCTAGGTTGCCTGGCCTTTCTTGATGCCAGTTCTCCAGCAGCTTTTCCCTCTCCCATACCTCTGCTCCAGTGGCGACCTCCTCTGCAGCTCCGGACATGACTCCCAGAGTGTAGAAGGAGAAAACACACAGCTCACGAGTACAGACGGCTGGCTGGATGGACATATTAAACAGACAGTAGTGGCACAGGGTGTGCAGTAAGAAGGTGTTATAGAGAGGACAAATCTGACCTCAGACAACTCTAGAATGAGGTAGGAATTTGGGGCCCTCTACATCATAAGAAAACTACAAATTAGTCTTAATTAAAACGCCTTATGTGTAAGTTTGAGAGAGAATGCTATCTTCTCTATGAAGCCTTCCATGACTTCCCTAGGTAGTTAGATGTTCTCTGTTGTAAGTTTCCACAACACTGCTCGTGTCTCCTCTCCATACTTATAGTGCAGTGTCTGTCCACCTACCTAGACTTGGGAGTCCTTGAGAACACCATTATATGCAATCATCTTGATCAATACCTGATCCCTATTTTTAAATACTGGGTGGGGGTTATAACTTCAAAAATGTTCATATATCCTCATCTTTCCAAACAGGACTGCTGAGATTTGTTTTCTGAGAAAAACAATTATTTCTAGAGTCTCAGGGAGTATGGACAGAATTCTACCTTTACCATAGACCTAGGAAGAAAGGCGAGATGAGGAGTGAAGGCGCCTTGGCTAAGGGTCCAAGGGAAGAGGGTCACAAATTAGGGCATGTACCTTGAGCATGGACCCATTCTGGAAGACATGCTGCTCATCACACACCACACAGTACTCATTCAACGTTGGAATCCTCTGTTCTGCATACTTCATGATCTTAGGAGAGAAGAGATTGTATCAAGTCCTTTGGAAGTACAGGCACAGGTAAGGGAAATTATTTAAGCTTCTTTCCAGCTACTCTCCCTACTCCCAGCCCTGTGCCTAAGGCAGAATCTATTTTTGGGCCCTGCGCTTAGTTAAACTGATGGCCCAACTCTAGAGCTGCAACTATATATTACAGTAAACACAGGAACAGCCATGGCAGAAGACCTGAGTTAAAATCCTACCCCCCTCTACCACTTGATAACATATATAACTTTGGGCAAATCAGTTAACCTGAGCCTTGTTTCTTCATTTATAAAGTGGGTATTATTAACCCCACAGAGGAATGGAGATTAATGAGATAATTTCATGAAGGTGCCCCTTCATGGTAGTATTTTATAAACATTAACAGGTACTACCCAAACTATTAACCTTAGTTGTGGTAATTACAGATTGTCCCTCTGAGATAGGTGAATATTCAGTCCATGATTACATGGTAGGAGGCCTGAGAAGCCATTTCAACTACCCAGAACAATCAGCCTGTCCACTCGTCAAAAGCATAGACACAATTCTGTTGGGAAGAGAGCACAAATCCAGAGCCATTTGGCAATACCCTAAAAAAAAATTGTTTTAACTTAACATATAGTGTTTTATTAGTTTCAGGGGTAGAATTTAGTGATTTATCAGTTGCATATAACAGCCAGTGCTCATTACTAAAGAATTTTTTAAAACGTCCTGTCTAGGGCACCTGGGTGGCTCAGCCGTTAAGCGTCTGCCTTCGGCTCAGGTCATGATCCCGGGGTCCTGGGATTGAGCCCCGCATCGGGCTCCCTGCTCCGCGGGAAGCCTGTTTCTCCCTCTCCCACTCCCCCTGCTTGTTCCTGCTCTCACTATGTCTCTCTCTGTCAAATAAATAAATAAAATCTTTAAAAAAATAAATTAATTAAAAAAAAAATAAAACGTCCTGTCTAGGGGCACCTGGCTGGCTCAGTCAGTGGAACACACAACTTTCAATCTCAGAGTCATGAGCTCATCAAGCCCCACACTGGTGTAGAGCTTACTTAAAAACAAAAACAAAACCTAAAAAAAAAACAACAATAACAAAATAAGACCACACTCTGTCTTTTTTTTTTTTTTTTTTAAAGATTTTATTTATTTATTTGACAGAGAGAGACACAGCGAGAGAGGGAACACAAGCAGGGGGAGTGTGAAAGGGAGAAGCAGGCCTCCCGCAGAGCAGGGAGCCCAATGCGGGGCTCGATCCCAGGACCCTGGGATCATGACCTGAGCCGAAGGCAGACACCCAACGACTGAGCCACTCAGGCGCCCCAAACCACACTCTGTCTTACCATGACTCTTTCTATCAGGTACCAGGTTTTGTATGAATCAAGTTGTTCCCATTTCACATACTTTTGGGCTGGTAAAGGGACATGCAAGGGCTTTTATTCACTCAGATGTACTGAATGCCCACTATGTACCCAGTTTGGTGAATGGTTTCCTTGATTATGCAATAACATAAAAGATTGTCTTCTCAAACCCTCAACACCAACAAGGGAGGTGTGGCATGTATACAAACTAATTACAACTCAAAGCATATGGTATGTGACACACAGGTGCCATACAAAACAACAAGCATCTTAAGAGTTCAATGAGAGAAGAGATCACTCCAACCTAGTATGATTGGAGTAATGGAGAAGAATTTTATGATACAGATAGCATTGAGCCTTGACTGCAAAAGGCAGATATGGGGAGGAAGGCCAGAGGAGGGAATGATGGGAACAAAAATAATAGAGATGCAAAAATCAAAGAAAGCATGTCCAGGGAATAAAGAGATATGAAAAAGAAATAACCCAGTAGTAGCTGAGCAGTGAAAGCGGTATAGGGAAAACTGAAGACCACTTGAGTGAGGATGTTGGGGATCATAAGGAAATCAGTGTCAATCCCTCTCATATCTGGACACCAATGCACTTAAAATTTGTTGTGCATCATTTGGCACTTGATCAGACATGATCTGTTAGCGTCTTCCCAATAATGCCATAAGCTTCTTGAGGATGGGAACTATGCCTTCTTTTCTCCTATCCACACAATGCTTAGTACAGTTCTAAGAGCAGAGCAACTCAGGAAATATCTGTTAACTGACTGAGGAGCTGAGAGATGTTAGGGGAACAGATGAGTCAGGTAACAGGGGAAAGGCTTAGGAATGAAGCTTTGAACTCAATTACCTGGACAAGGAATCCATATTCCAGAGTGGGGATGTTCTTGCAGTGACCACTGACCTGATGAGAGTAGAAAGAGAGACATCATGAGCCTCCTATGAAGCTGGTGCCTAGAAAGACCTCACACTCATCACCTAGGATTCTCCAGAAATAGCTACGCCCTACCTCCAATTAGCCTAAATAATCCCAAACCTGTAGAGAAGACCTTTAGACATTTTTGCCAAAGGTTCCTACCTTCTTCAAGGTAGGCGGATAGGTTAATACAGCAGCTGATGACCAAGTCCTAACCACAACCTAATAAAATCATACATGACATCTTGGGATGCCCAAGCTCAGACTCCCTGCCTCATGGCCTACTATCAGAGAAGCTTGCCAGACAGTTATGTTTTCAGCTATTAAAAAATGTGCTCCATTCTACCCATTCATGGTACATGTCCAAGTTTGATTTAGGATGCCTGAAAAACCATACTCCCACCTCATGTTGAGAAGCTATACTCCCACATTTCCATTCCCACCCTCCTGACACCCAAGTCAAACCCTCCCCAGCCCATGTACCAAAGGAGAGGTCCGTGCTGGGGGAGGGAGGCCCACGTGCTGGGGGCACAGGAGACCTGCCTGGGGACTGGGAGGGTAGCCAAACACCTCCACTTTGGGGTTCTTCATGGTGCAGGAGATGGAACGGTTCATGAGGCGCCCAACTCGAAGCTCTGGTACACCCAGTTTGCCTTTCAGCATGGAGTCCTGTATGATAGGGAAACTGGGAGATCTGGAGAGAGAGCAAAGAGAAGTGATGAAACTACGGATTCAGA